GAGGTGACTAAGCCACGACTTACTACGTTCGCATACGCACGTACAATATCCGGTGTTTCGGGAACTAAGGAAAGTGCCCCGGTCTTCGTATTGTATCGCTCGAAAATGAGTGCATTGTACGTATGTTTGTGAAAAGTCAGATAATCGAAAACGCAAGCAGCGCGTTCGGTCGCGGCGTGATAGCATGAGATGAAGCTGCTCAGTCGAAACCGAAACTGAGTGGCCAACTAGTTCCCAGAGTGCACTGCGTGGTATCTCGCCGCAATGGGGCGCGTCGGTTTTGGAACAAGTCCATTGCACACACGCCTAACATCCTCCGTAAGTTTTTCACAGTCTTCCAAGGATATGATCTGCCTAAACAACTTGACATCATCTGCATATTGCAAGACTACCGAATTGCGAACAATCGAGCTCAAATCATTAATAAAAACATTGAAAAAGATCGGCCCAAGTATGGAGCCTTGCGGCACACCCGAAGAAGAAACATAAGGCCGGGAGTGATGTCCAAGAACACAAACAAAATTGTGTCTATTAGACAAATAATCTAGGAACAGGGAACAAAGGGAGGTACTCACGCTGTAGGATTTTAGTTTGTGTGCAAGGAGCGAATGGTCTACTAAGTCAAAAGCCTTAGAGAGATCAAAATATACAATGTCTACCTGTCCACGTTGACACACTTTGAAGTCATTGTGACGTTGATGACATGCGGTGACAGTAAAAGGAGATGCATGTGCGCTAAGTTTTAAAACATGATATGTGTGGTGCACCTGACACCAGGACAACAGCCATTACTAGTCAATTGGAGCCAGCCTGATCCATGAGGACCCAAATCACTGCCCAATTGCTAGTGGTCTCCAGCTACCCCTAATAACTATCCGTAGGCAGTGTCGTCTGTGGACACCCATATAATTCGAAATACAGTTGAACTTGATCTAACAAACCCCGGTCTAACGAAATTTGCAATTCAAATAAATGTTCTTTTGTCTCCTTATCTTGCTTCCATTGAAGATAAGGTATTTTGTCTCTCGATTCAGCGAAGTACTTTTGCGCCTCAGTTTCGATTTAACGATGTCTCTGGAAATCGCACACACACATATCGGCGGCCTTTGCGAGAGAAATGAAATATTTAACAGAAACAAACCTTATTGTCGAAAACTAAGCATAAAATGTGGTCATTATCTTTTTTACAAAATAAAAAGCATGAGAGCATAAGAGTACACTAAAGTTAGCACCGTGCAGCAGACACAAGGTTGGGGATGCGAAAATGCAGATGATAAGAATATACTGTCGAGACTGGTTATAACGAGTGATGGACTGAACCTGCCGAACTTCAGATTCGGCAAAGTTCGGCAGATACCAAGCTTTTGAATGAAAGTTTGGCAAAGATTCATCAAAAATTCGGTAAATGTCTGCACACCCGCGAGAATACGACGGGGATGCCGCGTGGTCACCATCGTGCAGTGTAGTACAACCAGCAGTTACGGTGAGGTGTGGAGTAGGCAACACGGTAACTGTGCGTTTGTGACCCTTTGTGAGTGTGGTTCTCTTTAATATTTTCTGCCTCAAGAACAGAAGATCGATCAGTAATTTATGCATTATGATGCAGTACATTCTGGATAACGTGATTTTCAGTTGACCTTTCCAGTGATGCAACAATGTAGTTGAAACATTGACTGACAATTATTTTAAAGCACTCCTCGCATTTATAACAATCCTGTTTTCGGCTCACAAGTAGTTTTTGCCAAGGAAAAATAATATTGCTTTTTAATTAGCGTTATTTCGCGGTTTTCATGTATGTGCATAAAACTAAACACAAAACTATCATGCTCGACCATTGCACATCTGACATTCCTAACTCTTCCCATATTACTAAATGTCCTTGTGTGTGCTAACATTAGAAACCGGCATTTTAAAGTTTAAAAATGAGACGTTGAGAATATGGGACACACACTTTCATGCAAAGCTGACGTCAAGAGACTTAAATTGAAAACATGCATATTTACAATAATATTTGTTATCTCTTCTGGTGAAGGCTCAGAAACCGTTGCATTTGTTTTCACACACGTAATGGTGACTTGCAGAGAAAGTAAGAACGCAGCATTATTGCCTTTATTTTAACAGTGTACACACACTTGCAGGCTTGCGCTGGGCCTCAAAACCGAAACTAGCATATCGTGATATCGTGACTGCGCCTGCTACTACCCCACCTCGTTATCACGCCAGTTCTACAAGAAGTCACTAAAATTGCCAGTAAACTTACAAAAATGACACCGATACAATTATCTTGTCGAATATCCCCTTATTTAGTAATGACTGAGTCAATATGCATTACATGTTGCATTGCAGTTAAGAAAAAAAAGAAACATTTACCTTTTTTCGCCAGAAAAAAATAAATATCAACGTTAAGTCTGGTAACAATGTATTTTTGCTGAATCTTTGCTGAATTAGAAAAGTTTGGCAAAAGTTCAGCTTTGCCGAATCCCTTCTCTCGGTCCCGCTTGGTATTGCCGTGTAGATTAGGACCCCTGGGGTGCTATGTTGCGCTTTTTGCACTCCCAGGAGACTTGGAAGAGGGAAGTGACGTCAACGACACAGCAAACGCAGATTGGATGTTGACAGAAGAAAACGAAATCAACATCCAATCTGCGTTTGCTGTGTCGTTGACGTCACTTCCCTCTCCCTAGTCTCCTGGGAGTGCAAAAAGCGCAACATAGCCCCCCTGGTGGGACATTTCAGTGATATTGTGTCGTGAATGACTGGAAATTCCGGTGATGTTGCATCGTGCGGTGTCTCGCGTAAACCACAACCGATCACGCACAGAACAACGAGCACCAAACACATGCTTGCGGATGCACTGCACAAATTGCTCGGTCGCACCAGAATGTCCGTTCTTCGCTCGATGACGTTCTCTTCTATGTGCCACTTCACGTTCACGCACAGCATGATCTTGGCATCAAAGCGTTCCATCCTAACGCCCAGGGTGAGACCGTCACATCGACAACATTCTCTCACGGGCACGTTTACGCCGTCTAGCAGCCGCTGCTTGCTCCGGCGTATGCTTCGGCCTTCGGCCGCCCTATTCTTGCTCGCAAAGGAAGAGGGCGCCCAAGGGACGAGCAACCGAAGGCGAGAAAGAGCAGGTGGTGAGAAGCGCGATCGCATGACCCGCAGCGCAATCGCGATTGGCCGAACGCTCTGCGGCTCAACCGCGATTACCATCAGCAAAAGAGCGAGGGTATCACTGTTGTACTCGCCGCCCTCTCCTGGTGCCAAAGCCACCCGCGATAAATGTGTGCATACTCCGTTAATTTTTTGCAACATGACACTTGCCCAGTACAACATGCCCAGGACAGCCGATGCTGTCTGGGCCAACGGGGTTTGAACCTCGTACCTTCGCGTGGCAACTGTATGTGCTGTCGACTCTTCCACACTCATGGCAATATTGCACCGAGGCTTCACTTAGCCTATCCTAGGAGTGACCTTGATCTCATACCCGAGGCTCTTTGCTTTCGTTTTTGCATGGCAGAAGGCACAGAACCTGTCCCTGGTAAAACAGTGTATATGTTGCCCCGAAGTAACGTGGGGGCCGACAGATTTCTAGTCTGCCACTTTTGAATTCTGACTGTTGTGCTCTGCTGGGGCATTGTTCATAACCTTAGTTGTTTATGAACAAAGTTTCCCAGTTCCCTCGTGTAAACAACTTACTAGAGTTGGGGAAAATGTGCACAGGAGTGCGACACGCCACAGGAAATGCTGGATCAGTACTTGCTTCATTATCATTTGTTAAAGGACAAGTAGCCGACTGCATTTTAGAGTGACCAAAATCTCCACTTATCTTATTTTTTTAAGAAGAAAAGTGTGAGAAATTTGTGATTGTTAAGCCTGGTGCACGACCGATTGTGACCTGATGAGCTGCATTTTCCGGAGATCATCCAAGTTTGATTAGCTTTCACAGTAAAATTGTAAAACTGTTTTCTAAACTTTTTCTATTTTTTTTTTTTAAATTTTTATTTGACATGCTGCAGTCCACTTCCATTAATTCAACCTTGACGGACATGTGAAATTGGGTCTAATTATCCGAAAGTCTAATTAAAAAATATGTGCAGAATTCTGAATATCCAGTGCTTTAAATCAGGTGGGCTAACAGTTTTATAATGAGCCGCCGCACAACACCACACGGCAGTGGCACAGCCGTTTATGTCCTTCGTGCGTTGGGTGCGGCAGCGACAGCGGTACCCGGCTGGCACCGGCGGTGCAGCACCACTGCAGGGCAGCGATCGCTGCTCCGCAACGGTGTTGCAATGGCTGTTTTGTGTTGAGACCCGGCTGCGAGCCCTTTTTGAGATCCACTGTCTTAACGGATTAGACCATCCCGGCCACTGGTTTCAGTGAACTCAATTCTTGACCAGCTCTCTGAGTGCTGTTAGTTTTGAATTCGCTTAACTGGCTTGCTTTTACATCTCACCAGCCAGTTTGATAGCGCAACCGCTGCCGCAATGCATTGAAGGAACTTTAGTCTTTCTGGACGTGCAATAACTTTGCTGGAGCTCTGAGCTTGTGGAGCACGAGACGGCACGAGCCCTTGCATGCATGGCTGTCTGCCTTCCGTGAACTAAAGTTATGGCGGCGTCACGCATGCGCCGAACGCTTAGTGAGATCAGTCTATTGGAAACTAACGGTACATACAGCATTGGTCAAGAATTCAGTCTGCCGAAACCAGTGGCCGGGATGGTCTAATCGGTTAAGGCGTCGCCCTGGATATGCGAAGATGCAGGTTCAATGTCCGCTTCTGGCCCAATTTTTCGCCACCTCTCTTTCCCTTTCCCTTCCCCTAACTGTAATGCATTTCATTCTCGCACCGGGTGATTGTATTTTTTATGGGCATTTTACTTCGCCATTGCAAAATTCGATTTTTGGTCTTCGGTGGTGCACATGCGGTGCATTTGCAACTAGTCTGATGCGACGTTGATATTTGTTTTTAATTGTTCCTTCATGCGCAGCCAAGATAAAAAGGCTACAGGCAAACAGTGCTCCCGAGAGCCAGATCTTATCGCAAGATGCCTCTGTGCCAGCTTCCTTGCAACTAAAGGTATGTTTTTCTTTACAGCCATTCTATTTGTGTTTCTTTGGCCTACAACGGCGCAGTACACAATCTTGTGCTGCACTGCGGTTTCAGGACGGTGGCCGCCTTGGGGACAGGCTGGAGCCTTTGTCTGCCACCAAGAACCCGTCCGGTAAAAACGCCTCGTAACACGCGACGCAACTAAACGTTTTTGGATCCACTCGCATGTTCTGATTCTCGGTGTTTGCCCTCTGCCAGGTGAGCAGGACAAGCTGCTTCTGCTCAACCAGGTGAGGTGATGGCATCCCTCGAGCGGCATCTCGTAACGCATCCCCGGCCTCGTAGGAGGAGTATGGCGAGCACCAGTCCTGCGTCACGCACTGCAAGTTCAGCCACTCAGGCACGCTGGCCAGCGCCGACACGGACGGGGTGATCAAGTGCGCTCGCTTCCCGCCCCTCTGGATGGGCATCTAGACCCACGGCCTCTCTTGTACCCAGGGTCTGGAGCCCGAACCCGTCTCCCAAGACGCTGGCCACGGTGGTATCCAAGTCGAGCGTGACGGCCCTCGACTGGGTCCACAAGCACCAGCACCTGGCAAGTTTCTCTGGCAGTGCCGCCGGGGCTTTTTTCGGCTCTCTCAACTCCCTTATTGAAAAACAAGTACAACAAAAGAGTTTTAATCTGAACATGTCTGACAGATCTCCCTGGTTAGTGAGATAGAAAAGAAAAAAAATTAAGGCTCCAGTCTACGCTGTGAAGGTGGCTGGACAGCGAAGCTGGGGTATCACCTGCAACGATTGCCCACTGCACTCTAGACCCTTTTCATGGCAAACACCACCAGTTGGTGATCCAGCCTTTGACGTCCCAGAGAACTTCCGGTTTATAAAAAGAATGAACAAAAGCCACCTTAACACCGTTGCTTGAAATGTAGATGAAATGTTTAACCATCAAGTCTCCAGGTGAACGCCAAAAGAACGAAGGTGTGCGAGATCTGTTAAAACGTTTTGAGTATTCTTGTAAACCAACTTCCCCTCCAAGATATAATATTGTACAGCCAAAGGGCCTCATTAAATCTCTATCTTTGTTGTCCCTGTAGTATTTATGCTTTCTAGCACCGGTGACATCAGCAAGCTCAACAGGTTTCCAAAGACTGTGTGACTGGAAGTTGCTTGGGACACAAGCAGCAGTTCATGTAAACAGCAAAAGGGGTCTTTACCAAATGATTGACGAAAGAAAAGTAAATGCACTGTACCAAACTTTTATATATGAAAGACTTCATAGGCTGCCGTTGCCGCGGCAGGTTATGTAATTTACCAAGAAACGCATGTGGGGAGCGCTACGTGCTTATCATCTATCACATAGTTTTGACACTTGTTTTGTGGTTTTTTTGTTGAAACAAGTCTCAAAACCACAGGATAAGAGATAAGGCGCACGCGATGGTTTTTTGTCGATTGTTTTATCTGTCAACTATTGTTCTGTCAACGGACACAAAAAAACCCGACCAACGAGTCATATACAGCTTCGTTGTAAAACAACATCCTCGGCATTTTGGGACCAGCTTGGCATGTGACTGTAGGTCGGACTGTTGGGGTGTTGCTCATGCGGGCTGGTTACATCTAGGTTCGTTTTTGCGATGTGACCAAATCAAGTCGTGTACCCGACAACCTTGTGATGCTTTCTTTCATTGTCTGGATGTGCCAGGATTCTATTGTAGAATACCGAGCATGCACCCGTGTTGCAATAAGCAGCCGTTGGCTACTTCTGAAATATTTGAAAACTAAGGAAAGATCACATCAAGTGGCCTTCTGAGACCACTATAGCTAACCGAGATGCTCCTCCTTGCCAGCTGCTTCTCCCCGGTGCAAAAAGACACGGCCCAACCTGTTGGTGCCCCTTCCGCATATCTGCTCTTGGACCTAATGAGTGCTCATTCCCCAGTTTGTCAAGATTAGTTTCAAATTTTGGGGGGGGGGGAAGGGGAAGGGGAAGGGAAAGGGAAGGGGAGGGAGGGAGGGAGGGAGGGGGGGGTACTTGGTTGATATCTTACAGTAGGAGGAGGCATCTCTGCCAGTGTCTATCTGTGCCCAGGACCTTGCTTTTGTCAAGCGACAAGCTGTTCCCAAATTTGATCCATGTTCAGGGGGGGCACTGGTTTCCCGCGCTTGACGACCGTTGTTCCTTTGCCGGAAGAAGGCTGGCGGCTCTGGCCAGGGTTGCCGCTTCCGGCCGCAACAGTAGACAAGTACAAATATCTGAGTGGATCAACAAAGGGAAGAAATACCTCGATGAATATGAGAGACATATAATTGGCAAGGGTAAAAGGAATTTGGCCATTATGAAGCACAGGGTGTTATGGTTAATAGATACAAAGTTGCAGTCTTGAACATGAGTTCTGAAGTTCAGGCGAAATTAGAGATAGGACAAAGGAGCCTTGGCAGAGTAGCTCTAGGGGCACATGGGAACACTCCAAACGAGGGAGTACAGGGTGATATGGGCTGGTCATCGTTAGGGAGCAGAAAGTCAGTAAGTGTAAAATAAATTTTGACCAAAGACTAACAGACATAGAAGATACGCGGTGGGTGTATAAAATCTATAAATACCTGTATACTGTAAAACCCTTTATTTTCGCGGCCCCTATTTTTCGCGAACTGGACACAAAGGTCATAATCGCAGCCTCTAAATTTTGCGAATTCCAGACGCCTGCATTGGAATTCTTAAGGATTGATTTGATATTTTCGTGTGCCCTTAATTTTCGCGAATTTTTCAATTCGTGAAAATTAAGGGCTCGCAAACTTAAAGGGTTTTACAGTATGGGGAGTCTGAACGCGAGATGGACGAAACAGACACGAAGGACGGGGAATGGGGTGGAGCAAACACATTCAGTGGAAAAGGCAGTTAAAAGAGATGGATGTGGGAGGAAAAATGCAGGGGAAATCAGCTTTAACGATTTATAGGTCACAAAAGCAAGATATAAATACGGTAGGTTTATTTGATAGTTCAAGAGGGAGTGCTCTGCTGTTTGAGGCAATGAAGAAAGTTGAACAAAAACGTATGAGGCCAAATTTGAAGGCACTGATACAATGTGTGCAATATGTAAGGGGGAGACGGAAACAATTGAGCATATGATTCTAAAAATGTAAGAAGCTTAGTCCTGGCCTTCCCGAAGGGGCGACAGACATACCGTATTTATTCGAGTAATAGCTGCACTGCTTATGAAGAAAACCTGAGGGTTCGCTTTTCCGCGGTGCACGCAGATTGCCAATCACCGCAATCGACAGCATGATTCCAGCTGTTTACAAGACAGAGATAAAACGTCTTCGTGCGAAGATACCATCTGTGAAGATTGCATTTGTATGGACCATCGTGTTCTCGATCTGGTTATTCGCTATGTTATTTATGCGCAACGCAATGATTGGCTGTACATGTGTTCTGTGGGAAAGTAGGCGCAAGGGTCTTCTCCATAAAAATTGTGGCTATTACTCGAGTAGATACGGTACCGGTGGCTCTCGGTTCCGCTGGAGAAGATAGAAGGGTGGATTACAAAAGAGTAGAGGCAATGAAGAGGATATTGGAGTTACAACTACGTATCTAGCACAGCTGAGGGACAGGCAGGACAGAGGACAATTGCGACTTGCTCCTGCATGGCTCCCGCCCAAAGTTCCAACCCTGTCCCCCAGTGGGTTGGGCGTGAGGTGACGCCCACAAGGTTCGACCAGAGGAAAATTGGCAACTCCCTCGCCTGGGGGAGGAGGGTAATGCTTTGAGTTTTTTTGCCCGATCCCCAAAGGTCTGCCTGGCAATCATCTTCATGACCTAGTGATAGTTAGAGAAACGCTTTGGCTTGAAAGGGGAAATCGGGTTTTTGTAATTGTTTTTAGGCTAGGTGGCACAAGCTACCGGCCGTTACAAAGGATACGGCCGTTATGATCCATCCATTCATCCATCTGTCATGGGCTCGCCAGCGCGGAAATGCGTGCTTCACCAGATTGAAAAATTGTTTAGCTCAATGGCATGTCAGTCATGTGCGTTGAATTGACTTTTGGTTGGTTCTCAGCTCAAAATCTAGCTTTTGCAGAGGTTTTTGTTGTCAACATGGGAAACATTTCATATATGTCATTTTTTTTATGTATAGACAGTAGCTCTATTTGCACTTTGTTTGGACCAATGTTTGAAGAAAGGTTGCGTTTGACGAGTTATATTTTGTGTTAGAATTCATGTCTGCTTTGACGTTTATGTCATACAAACACATATATTTACCGTATTTACTCGCGTATAGGTCGACCTGTTTTTCAAAAATCGCCTCATCAAAACTGGGGGGTCGACCAATACGCGAATCCCAATATTATATTTTTCAACTTTTTTTTTTTTTTCGGGGGTCCCGAAGTTAGGGGGTCGACCTATACGACGTATCGACCAATATGCGAGTAAATACGGTATTTAGCTTCATTTCTTTGTACGGCATAATATTTTAAACCTAATAGTTTCCTCGGGGGAAGAAAAATTAACAAGAAGCCACACAAAATTATAATTTTTTCCACGGTCAGGAAAGAGTTAATGAGAGCACACTTGGCAACAAAAGTCCTAAAGCTGGCAATTTATGTAAAAGTGCACATGGAACAGTAGGATATTTTTGTCGAAGATCTAAAAATGTTGCATCAATCTAGGATCCTTTACTACAGAGAAACTTTTCTATCTCGAGGAAGCCCTTCCTGCCCCAAACGGCAGCCAAGGTTCCCTTTCAAGTCTCTGCATTGATGCAGTAAAGCATGGCAGGTGTTTACGGACATTGGAGACAACACTGCAGATTAACGGGGAGTGTTTGGCCCACAGTTTTGAACCAATCAGTGGCTCAGCTCTGCTAAAGCAGGGCTTAACCTGGAAATACACTTTACTGGGGTGCACAAACAGTCGAAGAAATTCGGGAGCTCGGGGAGGGTACTCTGGGGGAACCCATGGCTTGAGAACCCACACATAGGAGGTTGGACTAATGAGGCACACAAAGGAGAATCGAGCCATCAAGAGGCCACTTCTTTCGCATGGCCACCACCCGGGGGAAGGGTGGCCGGATGGGATCGGGATTTTGCTAAACTTGTGTGGCGTGCTCCTGTGCAGCCAGGTTGGGGAGGGAAAATTTGTGGATACTGTGGGAGAGAAATGGTGATGCATCTCAACCTTGTTCCCAGAGACGGAGGCCTCGGTTCTTGTCACATGTGCTGACACCCTCTTCTTGGCCCTCCAGCTGGTGTACGGTCTGAAGCAAGGAAACCTCCGGCTGTACGACACCAAAGAGCGAAGGGCCCTCTTCGACATTGTTCCAGAGTCGGCATCCGTGTTAAGAGAGCACAGGTCAGGCTCCCTTTGGCACATGCGTGAGCCCCACAGATATATTCGTGGTTGCACGTTTCTTCAAGCTTCCGAGTGCCACGCTCGCGAGTTCTTTGCAATTTTGCCCAATTTTCCCGCATTAAAAGAAAGGGAATTTTCTGGGCATTTGTATTCGTCGTTCATCGTAAAAAGAAAGACTAGCGTTTCAGTTATTCCATCTGTTAGTTTCGAGCCAAGATTATAAATTTACCTTGACCCATGTGAGAAATAGTCTGAGGTCGATGCTAGGAACATTTTGCTCGTTGAGCAATATGTGAAAAATCATTTTGATAATAGTAGTTGTGCAGATTGTTCTCAAGAACAAAGTAGTAGTTCGAGATGCATGGAGTAAAGGATGTTTACCCGGAGCCCAGCCAAGCATCAGGAAGTGCCTTGAGACCAGTAAAACAGTAGTTGGGCTAGTGCATACATTACTTAAAAACGGTAGGTGGCAATAATTTGGGGTCCAAAAAGTAGAGCCACCAGTCCTTCACGGTGTCATCTCCTTTTTCATCTTTGGTATTGATTGGTGCCTCCTGTTTTAGATGCCCCGAGAAATTCCAGGTAGACTGGAAAGGGGCATCTACAGTAGCTAGAATTATCCTTTGTTAGTATAACGTTTTAGTGAGTTATGTTTTTCAAGTGTTTCCGTTACAACATCAAGGTTTCGGTCAAAGTCTTCATTAAATAAGTGTTGAGAAAGAAAAAGGAAATCCTGGCTCTGAAAGGGTCACAGCACATGAGAGCCACATTGCTGTACCATACCAGGAACAAATAATTTGGAATAGGCTCATCATTATAGCATTCGATAAAAGATACAAATTAGTTATATGAGCTCCCAGGCATTCAAAGTTTGGTATTATGGATGTTTCTTTGTTTAGACAGTCAACACCCATAAAATGTGGCACTGCTTTGTTTTGTGAGCGGATGGTACTCCAGGGGTTGTGTTTTCATATTGAAAAGTATGACATGCAGGCGTTAAAAATGTGCCTCATTGTTTCAAGGGTGTACCAATAATGTTTACTTTAAAAAAATATGTGTGCTCACATGGATTCGAGATATTAATCCACCATAGTGGCGCTGTTGTCAAGCTTGGTACCTCTTCTAGTTTTCCATTAGGGAACTCGGAAAAGAACACACTCGAACGACCACAATACACTGTTAGCTTTGTCCCATTCACCTTGAAGAAGGCACAATAAGGCAATTTGGAAGGTAGCATTTTGGAACGGGACATTATTTTTATTTTGGGGGTTCTCGTAATATTTTTTTGAGAAGGGCACTATATCAATAAATAATAGTCAATCTATCGTGTTATCTTTTTAGGGCAAGAACACTTTTTGTGGACGCTCCATTGGTACAATAGGAGAAGCATGTCGCTCGATAAGGTACCAATGGTCGGCGTCGGGGCATTGTCCAGCAGCACAGATATGTACAAAACAAAACTCAAAAGAACAGTTATCTTTAATACCGATTAAATTCTGAGCTATTTCGATTGTCGCAAGTTGCATACCGAAACATATTCCAAAAAAAGGTATGTTATTAGTATGGGCATATTTTATTGCTATAATTTTTCCTTCAGTTGCCCGTTTTCCAAATTCGCAACACATACAACACCAACAGCAATACTGCAGCAATTATAAAAGCATGAACAGAATAACAAAAAATGTGCAGAAACATATAATGGTGGGGAACGTGCAAAAGTACACCATCTGCCTCAATCATTGTTGGTTCTTTGTAAAAACAAAAATGCATTCCAGTAAAAATAGTACAAAACTGCATAAGACAGCTCTGTAATGGGCGTATACTGCACCCTTTCCAGTGTGGCCTGCCTTGCCTGCAGCCCAGTTGAGCCTGCCATGGTCAGCTCTCTGCATCTGGAATCCACTGCAACGCCTCCGCCCGGAAAGCTCCTCTTGTGGGATTTGAAAAGCAAGCAGCTCCAGGTAAACAGCTGCGCAGCTGCCTTTGTTTTGGTGTACGGCACTGAGGGATGCTGAGGCAGTATCTGAGTACTTATCTCTCGAATGTATTACAATCGAACCCGATTATAATGAAGTCAACAAAAATAGGAATTATGTTTGCTGTATCCGGGATTCGTTATATCTGGTCTTCGTGAAAAATTAATTTTTTTGCACAGTGTATGGCGTGATGCTGGTTGGAGAGCCGCTATCTTAGTTATGATTTCAGTGCAAAGCAACTCTAGTAACATATTTTAATATGCCTGAAAGTGGGCTGCTTCCTACATATTTTTGCGCTGTGAGAAGCTGGTAGAGCCTGTGATCTGTAACTTGCGGGGGTAAAGTGTAAACTCCATAGAAAATAAAAAACATGTTAGTGCAAACTTTTACTGCAAAACAAAACTGTCCATGTGCGACTAGAATGTAACGAAATGAGTCTGGAAAAGTGATTGCCATTCATTCCCGCTGCTTTTGTTTTAGAAGTGAAAGGCTGTTGTTATCAAAACTTTCAGTATGGTGAAAAGGCTCATTCCAGGCACCAGCCTCTTAGCAGTGTAAATTAGGGCTCACCAATACAGTCGAGCCCGGTTATAACAAAGCGAGAATGGGACATATGTTTGCTCTATCTGGACCAGTGCTGCAGAATGAGCACACCCCATTCCATTCCAACTCCGTTCCGGGGAATCTGCGTTTCCGATAATTCTATTCCTTTCAACTCCTCGGAATGAAGGGCCAACACCCACTCCTGGAATGGCTGAACCATTCCATTCCATTCCTCTAATTCCTAAAGCTGAAAAATGGCACTTGACAGCTACATTGTGTTGCCGACAAAAGCAGCGTACAGCTGACATTACCAAACGCATTGGCAACTTCAACGATACATAAAACGCGTCCTCGAAGCACGATTCTAGTAAGCTGAACGGTGATTACACAAAGCACTTGGTGGCACTCGTGGCCACTGCAGACTTCAATGTGTATCACAGAAACATGAGCCAGATATGCAGTGTTGTAGGCATTACAGAAAAAAAAAAGCAACAAAATATGTTACTCATCACTTGCAAATAAAAGGAATGCATTACCAACCCATATTACCTGAAAATAAAAGGAATGTGTTACTGTTATTGATAAAAAGTAGCTCTCATTATTTTTGCGTTACTTTTTATTTATAAATTAAAATATTTTACTGTTTGACATTGTAGGCATACATAAGTGCCATATTTCAAGAAACATGATTTCCATGCAGAAACTAAAATAATTGAAGTATAATTTTTTTTAAGTCTTCGGAAAAAGATGTTATGGGGGAATAACAAAAGTTATGTTATCCGTTACTCAAACTAAGTAATGTATATTATATGTTACTGTTTTGAAAATGTAATGAGTATAATTACCGTAAAAAGTAACATGTTACCACGAACACTGCAGTCATGTCACTTTTGACACTGTGCATGCCTCTGGAGTGAGAAGTCCTGCATCCCAAAAAAGACAGGCAGCATGTCTTTGTCTTTACCTGGTAGCCTTTGACTGGCGGCGTAATTGTGTGTGATCACAATAATCGCTTTGTCACATCTCACGGCGCAGGAACGACAGCTTGTCCATCTACAACTACAATCAAACTCGTTTATAACAAACTGTATAAAACGGCCGGTTTCGTTCGATATACCCAATAATTCGTTACAGCAAAACCCAGCCGCTTCTAACAAATTTTTACAATTTGTTTGTTACTGTATTTACTTGCATAATGAACACACTTTTTTTCCCGAAAAATTGACACATATTTGGGGGGGGGGGGGGGGGGAGGGGGGTGCGCGTTTATTACACTTCGTGCAAATGTCATATTGGGTGCCAATAAGACATGGCAAGGTACTGTGGCACGTCTCCACTGATGGAGGCGCACCCACGGCTGGTCGGGGGCGCGCCACAGTAACCATGCTTTATAAATTGCGAACCTTCTTAGGGCACTTTCGGCGTGCCTTTTCCCAAAGGAAAAGCGCCCTACAAAGCTCACTCAGCACTGAGAGCAATGCAACCGTTCTTAGGCCCAATCACTTTCACGATTTCACAGTCCGAACGCGGACCACAGATGACGGCGTGTTTGTTGACATCAATGCATCCGATAGGCAAAGAATGTTCGGGGCTGGGCAATTCCTCGACCCAAGCTTCAACAAGTGTGCGCGCTGATCGGTTTTATGGTTGATCACTTCCGCAACTACGCACTTGCAGCCATTATGAGAGCGGCTTGGCTTGGCTTAGCCTGACCACTTGTTGACAACAGAAAATTGGCTTGGTGGGCTTGGTTGGTGGCTAGCTATTTGGACACAATTTGAGACTCACAGAGCCGAAAATTGGAGGTGCATTCATTACGCAAGGGAAAAAAAAAGTCCAAATATTGGTACCTGTTGTGGGGGGTGCATTCATTATGCGAATAAATATGATATACGCAGAGGTTGCTTAAACGGATGCTGAACCAAACATTTCATTGTCTACAATAAGCGGTGCACAATCTTTCCATGAGCCAACAGCCGCCGGTGTGCGTGCATCATATCCCCCATTCACGCTTAAGCGTGAATGGGGGATATGATGACGTCAATTTCGTTGCATCTGCTCGCGCACACCGGCGGCTGTTGGCTCGTGGAAAGATTGTGCGCCACTTATGCGACACTGAAATGTTGGGTTCAGCATCCCTTTAACATACTACTCCTATATGTGTTGAAGATGGCGGCAATGTTAAATTTTTTTTTCACCACGTTCAACATGACGAATATTATTGCCCGGCAAAGAATTTCACTCTGTGCAGAACCAGTGACGCTGGTTTCGTAGGGAGTGTGTTTAGACCTTATTTTACGGTGGTCCTGCCAGCACATATTGGTTTTTATTTTTATTTCTACATTTTCCTAAATAAACCATTCAGTTGAAAGTTACACCAAGTCTTGTCTAGATCTTTCTTTGTTTTGTCAATGTTGTTTCGGCGTATTATCCAGTAATGGTGTCCACTCTGTCCGAGAGCTGAAGAGCGTGCCACTGCGTCGTTATCTTGAACCGTAAACCGCACCAGATTGCAGACCACAATGGCAAGTTGCAGGAGGCCTAGGAAAGTGAAGTTTATGAAGCCGAGGCTCGGTGTGTAATGTGTGACTGCGAGCGCGGCCAAATTTTGTCTGCTCCAAAACCTCCGGTTACAACAGAGTTGATTGGCTAAAGAGCACCGCGGTTGTTACGAAATCAGAAACCTGATAGGGCTACAGCGCTAGGGCGTGACTAAGTGTAACTAAGTGGAGGTTTCATGCCAGGCGAGGAGGAACTTCCGTCTGCGTTGTAAGGAAGCCGAACACCGTAAGTGTTGGAGCTCGCGTGTTTGCTGGTGGTCATAGACGCTGGAAACTTTATTGTGTAGTTCATTAAGCGAGATATATTTTAATGCATACTGATAAAACATTTTCGCTGTGTTCAATATATAAGGGTTACTTTGCTGTATTCAGGTTCATTGTAATCGGGTATGGCTGTATTCAGTTTTGGTTGCTTCACTGAGGGAGCCACTTTCATCCTCGAAGGAGTATGAGCCAGTCAAACGATTAAGCCATCATTGCCTTAAGTGCAATGATGCTGTTTTCAAGAGCCACTTTCACTGTTCACAGCAGGCTGTAGGCCCTGGCTGAAGACCAACACAGCCAGTGGCGTGGACTTTCCATTTTCCCGGGGGGGGGGGGGGGGGGGGGAGGGGGGGAGGGGCGGTGCAGGCTGAGTTCTTCCGGGGGGAAGGGGGGGGGGGGTGCTGCGCGTTATTTTTTCGCCAGAACTGGAGATTGAAGCTAACGAAAACATGCTGGAATTCCATTTCCCATGTATTTTGTCAATAAAGGAAACATGCGCGTTATTTTGTTTACATGCCGCTACTAGAAGCTCGTTACATGGCATTTAAACAGCGTCTCGGTAAGGATCATGGCCCGGGCCCGGGGGGGGTCACGAGCCCAGTTGCCCCCCCCATAGTCTACGCCTATGAACACAGCGTACGTAAGAACTGAGCCTCTTTCATTTCCCACTGCATTCCAAGCAAAAGGCATCCAATTCCACTCCAATTCCACTCCTCCCAGCGATGCTGCCGTTCCATTCCCATTCTATTCTGGGGTTGCGGAAGCACGGAATGATTCCAGAATCATTCTAACTCTGTAGTGGCAACTCCACAACGCTGATCAGGGACATTGCGAAAAATCATGATTTGTTTATACATACGGCACATCAAGGCCATGCAGCATACAGTACAAGTAGGATTCAGTGTTTTCAGAGTTCCTTTTTCGTCAAATTTGGAGGGTGTTTTTTTTTTAGTTTATTTTTTTCCGAAAATTCGGAGTTTATAGGAGTTTATTTTTGTTTGATTCCAAAATCTCCGAAATTCTGAGCTTATTTTTGCAGTGTTTCTTATGAAAAAATAAATAATATCCGGGTGTATATGTATGCTAGATAAGGAAAAATAAAATGCGCTTATATCAAATATTTCTTCAGCTGGGTTTGGTGTTGGTGCCATTGCCATTGGCAATACTAATTTGTCCCACGGCAAAAGTTGTACACATCTGTGGCTTGGATAAACGTCGATACCTTAAAAATAAACTCGTGGAGGTAGTCGCTGGGAGCACGTATTCACCCCATCCTATTCCATGCTACCCCGCGGCCGCGCGAGGTGGAGTGGTAAAGGATGGAACAGGGAAGTTTCAACTGCCCGTCTTCCAATTTTATGCAATCTCTGTAATCCATAGCTTTATCTGTTACAAAAACACAACCTCTTTTCCTCTTAAAACACAAATGGTATGGCCGAAACTGGAAACCAATACAGGGGCTTTTGTCGTGACCCAAATGCACAATGACATGTCGTTCTGGTATACCTCGACGAGATGATCGGATATTTTCGAAACAGTCAGAAACCAAACCTCGGGTGTTTTGTCTCATCACTAATTGAAAGTATACAAACAATAGCATGAAACAAACATTAATTA